ACAGCACACCTCGCTTTTTCAGACCGATGAGTTTTGTAAAAAACGACGCGTTTCAAAAAGGCGGGGCATAGAGGAGAAACAATAATGTACAGTATGTGGAAAATAATGTGTTTTTTTAACTTTAAACTGCATAAACACATTTCATTACACCAAATACACAAAATAATGTTCTTTTTAGCAGCATCATATGACTCCTTTAAGGAGAAAATACTCAGCAATGGTGTTGATAAATGGATTGGCACATGGTTTATCTAAAAGCATATTAAAAACGCCACATAGACAAATAAACAACATAAAAAACTTGATTTTCACCACAGGGGGACTTTAAACATTTAAGAACAACAGTTATTTTAGCCGCAGGCGGCTGTCTTGGTCTTTGAGGGTTAAACTTTGCATATATATCAAAATCCAGGGCATGTAAATTTTGATTGCCTTTCACTAGCTGTTGATTCTTTTTAAAACCACGTATTCATTATGCAATGAATGTAATGGAATTGTGAGCCCTGACTTCTGATAGTTTTAATTATTTTGTTTTAATTTTTTTAAAGATGTGTATATTCTAGTTGCTTATTAAATATTAATCCAGTTTTAGGAGATTTGTTTTCCATCAATATACCCAACCCTAAAGCCAAAGCTTTATGATATATGTTCTGCTCATTTTCTCTTTTTAGATATAATAGTTTAATAGTGAGCCAGTAAAATAAAGTAGTTTTTAGTCCTTTAGTTTTCTATATTGTTGCATATAAAAAAATAAAAAAAAAACCTTGATGCTTGTTTTCAGAAAATGTCTTTATATTAACTATTATAATTAAAAAGTCTTTGAATAATATATGCTAATTATTTCTTATAGTTTTAATAGCATTTTCTGAAGAGAAAGTGTAAGACATTGAAGTCAGATTTTACAGTTGTCCCTGTACTTTTACATGTGTTTTGCATAAGGTTTGTATTTGGGGTGTTGTTGTTGTTGTTATATATAAAATAAGATAATGTTTGCATGTGACCTATAAACTTAAGCATATCAAATTTTATAAATGTGCATTAAGTGAACAATCACAATTTAAATCAAGGCTATAGTAAAATGTAAATAAATGATCACTCTAAATAAGTTTATTTCTTTTACATGTTTTTAACAATCGCATGACATTATATAACACTAAACTTCAGTTTCTGTCATTCATAATACTCCTTTTCTCTGGACATGGTGAATTTTGGAGAGAAGGAGAAAACATCAGTCTAATATGAAAATGTTTGTATTATTGTCAATCACGTGTCTTTCTTTCTTTCTAATTTCTGTGAGCTATTAATTAAATTGATGTATAAAGGCATCACAGTAAAGATCTCAATGTGAGACTAGTCATTGCAGTCTTTGTTATGTGTTCATGACATAAGTGAATATTTGCATATGCTGCTGACTAACAAATTGCAAATTTGCGTTTCTATATATTTAAGGAGTCTGCCTTATGACTGTATTTACTGACTTGCTTCCCACAGAAGAGATGAAGATTATCTGGGTTGCTCTTTTCCTGTCAGCTCATTGTGGCCTGACTTTAACTTTGAACAGGAAACACATTTTTATTAATAATGCCAAGACTTGGAGCAATGCTCAGAAGTTTTGCAGAGAGAATTATGCCGACCTGTCCACCATAGACAGCCAAGAGGAACTTCTAAGGTTCAAAAATGATTCAAAAAATCAGACAGCTGATAGCACTCACAGCTGGGTTGGACTGAGCAAGCCCTCTGCTAATGGCAAATGGGTGTGGAGTGATGGAAGCGAAGAAATTTCTATGACATGGAGGACTGGTCAACCGGACAACCCAAATATTGCCTTTTGCGGTAAGAGTTCAGATAGTGAATTGTATGACTACGATTGTGGACACCAGTACCCTTTTTTCTGCTACGAGTGGGTGCCCGAACTGATCCTGGTAATGGAGAAGAAGAGCTGGGAGGAGGCTTTAGAACACTGCAGGACTCAACACTCTGGCTTGGCCTGTCTGCCAACCAGTTTGCATATCTTCCAAGCCAATCACAAGACTGTAGACTTGCAAACCCCCAGCATGTGGACAGGTTTGCGCTTCCTGGCAGGCTACTGGTTCTGGGTCAGTGGGGAGTCTCTGGGAAATTTGGTCCAGTTGCCAGTATGCCCTTCCAGTCCCCTTTACTGTGGATCTCGAAACCTGGCAGCTAAAAGTTGGGAGAGCAGAGATTGTTCAGAGAAACTGAATTTTGTATGTTATTCATGAACAGGGAAAGAACCAAAGCATATATATGAATATGTTTCAGTCAGTTGTGTCTGATTATTTAATACAAAACAATTGTTGTTAATAAAATTAAAATGTGTATTTAAATTCTAATTATGCATATATATATATATATATATATATATATATACACAAACATATGTTATATATATAGCTCACTTGTTAACTTTATATTCTAAAATCTATTAAAGTAGCCCTTTATTTCACTTAAAAATAGTGAGTTAGCATAATGTCTACAGTTTATGTAAAATTAGTAGCTTTCTGTATATCTCTATATGCTATGTTTATAAGTTGTTTAAATTAGGGTCAAAAAAGGGTCAACGTGTGAACATGCTGCTTGAAAAATGCCCGATGATGCATCACTTTACACTGTGAAACACAGACTATACATTTAGTGAGCTTGTATTGATGTCCTAGATTTACAGCACTTTTAGAAGCTATATTGATATTATTTTCATCACTCTGTCACACTGTGAAGCGTTTGAAAACAATGTTTATGTAGACTGTGAGTTTCACAAAGAACAATATAATAGTTCAGTATCGGAAACGAAGATCTTTTGAAGATCAATAAACTGTTTTGGAAAATATACTCAACAGTAAATGGAAACACTGAAAAATAAATTGCAATAAAAAGTTTGTTTCATTTAAATGGTTAAAGCAAAATAGTTCTTGTTTTCCCCTTTATTTTCACACCACACACCTTATGCACAAGAAACTAAAGTTAATTTATTGACAGCCAAACCCTCCCATACACCATGACATTTTGATCACTGCTATTAGCATCATCCTGCAGAGTTTATATAAATACACGGATCAAAGCCATTTTAATAAAATGTTTAAAAACAATTTTCTTAAGTCATGCTCAAAAAGTGTTTTCAGACAGCTTGTGTTTGTTTTGTCAGTTGATTTTTAGAGGAACTATAATTAATGAATATTAAAAGTATGCATATTTTTTATTTTTTTTGGATCAAAGCCATTTTAATAAAATGTTTAAAAACAATTTTCTTAAGTCATGCTCAAAAAGTGTTTTCAGACAGCTTGTGTTTGTTTTGTCAGTTGATTTTTAGAGGAACTATAATTAATGAATATTAAAAGTATGCATATTTTTTATTTTTTTATTTTCTGAGTAAAAATGTCTGAATGAACAGAGCTTGAATAACTAATACAGAGTCTTAATGTGCAATATGATATATAAAAAACAATCACTTAATGGATCATTTTAATTTCTTCGATTTATTGAACTGACCCAGATCAACATACATTAGAGTAGGTACTCTGCATTAGTAATTGTTATACTTCTGCTGGGAAAAATGAAATGCATGAATCTATTAAATAATGTATAAATATGTGTGAAAACATGAGTTTTCATGCTACAGTGAACATTGTGAATATTATTGAGCATTCATGTCAGTGACCTTTTAAGAGTACCACTTCCGTTAGAGTGACATTCAAAAATGCTTAAACGGTTCATTTGAAAAGTAAATGTACTGGTTTTAGGTCATTTTTTTAAGTAAATATTTTTTCCTGGTCCCAGGCATTGCACAACCATTTTAAGATATAACAGTTTCCAGGAAAAAAGGCCTTTTTATCATAAACTGAAATTACAGAGATTTTAGTGAATTTTCAAAGGCTCAGTTCTATATTAGAAACACACTAAATTATTTTGTTAGACTAGGCTTTTGATTGTTTTACTGCCAAATACCTGACTGATAGCGTAATTCATGCTTTGTGTTATGTAACCTTGTTTTTAATTGCAAGTTTAATGCTGCTGCTAGATTTAAAATAAATAATTTAGTTTAAACCCTTTGTATCACAATATTTCTCTAAAGATAAGCTCTAAATGAGAAGAAAGGAAAGTTGTCAGAAAATAATTGAAATAAACACAACAATCTTTCTTCTTCATTATAACTCAAAGGGATTACTTCTACAACACGTACTGCAAATAAGAAAAAAACATCTGAACTATGTCAACCAGTGACTTCAGTCTTTGGCCTAACAACCACTTAATAACACATCACATTACCATGACACATGGAATCAGTTAGTGTAAAATGTTTACAATATAATAAACAACTGAATGATAATTTTCTGCTCATCAGACTCTAATATCAGTGGTGCTGTAAATAAAGAAACTATTCAAAATTTATTTTAGGAACATTTTCTTCACAACTAAAGTGGTGTGAGGCTATTCAAGCTGTCGAAGCTTTGATTTTATGTCAAACAACGGTATTGAAACTGGTTTTAATACTACTGTAGAAAAGTGGTAGCCTGATTCAGCTGAAATATGTACAGTACACTGGCTGGGAGGACCAGCCGTTCCCATGATGCCATGCGGTACCACTCAGGCATCTATACCCGTGCTGACAAGCAGTTCATAGTCAGGGTCATGACCTCTGCGGCAAAGGACCACACATGCACACAGCAGCCCAAGCATCTGAGAAAAGGAAACAATGGTCAAAACAAACCATTACAGTGACGATGATGACAGGAAAGATTATGAGAACATATTTCAAATATTATTCTGCATTATCTGTTAACATCATGCAGGCAATATGGTTCAACAGCTGGATCTCGCTTTTTAATGCTGTTTAAAGTGCATTAACAAAAATACTTGTTGCATATCCCATATGTTAGCCAGAGTATGTTCACTACTGTCTAACAATGTGTTTATGTTGGAATACAATTAAATCATGCTTTGTCTTTTCAATTTTAGAGGAACTATAATTAATGAATATTAAAAGTATGCATATTTTTTATTTTTTTTATTTTTTTATTTTCTGAGTAAAAATGTCTGAATGAACAGAGCTTGAATAACTAATACAGAGTCTTAATGTGCAATATGATATATAAAAAACAATCACTTAATGGATCATTTTAATTTCTTCGATTTATTGAACTGACCCAGATCAACATACATTAGAGTAGGTACTCTGCATTAGTAATTGTTATACTTCTGCTGGGAAAAATGAAATGCATGAATCTATTAAATAATGTATAAATATGTGTGAAAACATGAGTTTTCATGCTACAGTGAACATTGTGAATATTATTGAGCATTCATGTCAGTGACCTTTTAAGAGTACCACTTCCGTTAGAGTGACATTCAAAAATGCTTAAACGGTTCATTTGAAAAGTAAATGTACTGGTTTTAGGTCATTTTTTTAAGTAAATATTTTTTCCTGGTCCCAGGCATTGCACAACCATTTTAAGATATAACAGTTTCCAGGAAAAAAGGCCTTTTTATCATAAACTGAAATTACAGAGATTTTAGTGAATTTTCAAAGGCTCAGTTCTATATTAGAAACACACTAAATTATTTTGTTAGACTAGGCTTTTGATTGTTTTACTGCCAAATACCTGACTGATAGCGTAATTCATGCTTTGTGTTATGTAACCTTGTTTTTAATTGCAAGTTTAATGCTGCTGCTAGATTTAAAATAAATAATTTAGTTTAAACCCTTTGTATCACAATATTTCTCTAAAGATAAGCTCTAAATGAGAAGAAAGGAAAGTTGTCAGAAAATAATTGAAATAAACACAACAATCTTTCTTCTTCATTATAACTCAAAGGGATTACTTCTACAACACGTACTGCAAATAAGAAAAAAACATCTGAACTATGTCAACCAGTGACTTCAGTCTTTGGCCTAACAACCACTTAATAACACATCACATTACCATGACACATGGAATCAGTTAGTGTAAAATGTTTACAATATAATAAACAACTGAATGATAATTTTCTGCTCATCAGACTCTAATATCAGTGGTGCTGTAAATAAAGAAACTATTCAAAATTTATTTTAGGAACATTTTCTTCACAACTAAAGTGGTGTGAGGCTATTCAAGCTGTCGAAGCTTTGATTTTATGTCAAACAACGGTATTGAAACTGGTTTTAATACTACTGTAGAAAAGTGGTAGCCTGATTCAGCTGAAATATGTACAGTACACTGGCTGGGAGGACCAGCCGTTCCCATGATGCCATGCGGTACCACTCAGGCATCTATACCCGTGCTGACAAGCAGTTCATAGTCAGGGTCATGACCTCTGCGGCAAAGGACCACACATGCACACAGCAGCCCAAGCATCTGAGAAAAGGAAACAATGGTCAAAACAAACCATTACAGTGACGATGATGACAGGAAAGATTATGAGAACATATTTCAAATATTATTCTGCATTATCTGTTAACATCATGCAGGCAATATGGTTCAACAGCTGGATCTCGCTTTTTAATGCTGTTTAAAGTGCATTAACAAAAATACTTGTTGCATATCCCATATGTTAGCCAGAGTATGTTCACTACTGTCTAACAATGTGTTTATGTTGGAATACAATTAAATCATGCTTTGTCTTTTCAAAACTTCTATCCCTTGTCATGATGTGTGTCGAGTTGCATCGTGTAATGTATGTTTCACGCTTTTGAAAATGTATATAATGTAAATATATTTTCTGATAAAGGACCATAGTGAGCATAGATTCTCCCAGGTTTTTGCACTGCATTGCAGGATTTTTTTAAGGAGCGAACATTCCAGTGCACTGGAAGGATTTTGTGATTGAGACAGTGAACGTCTCGGTTATGTATGTAACCCTCGATCTCTGAAGGAGGGAACGGAGACGTCACATCGTGACCAACAAATTGGGATCTCGCTTCGAGAGACCAATCTACTTAGAGCGTAACTAAACGAGCCTAAACGAGGCATGCAGTTATTGCATCCAGCTGCCGCTGATCACAGCGTGAGCATAAAAAGGCAGCCGGTGCAATGCATACCAGGTTTTCGCTGAGGAGCCGAGCCGGTGACCCAGCCGTTCAGCGGTGGTACAGCAGCCGTGGAGACGGGGTGTGTCGTCTCCATTCCCTCCTTCAGGGAAGGAGGGTTACATACACAACCGAGACGTTCCCTTTCAGTCGGTCACTACGAGTCACGTCGTGACCGACAAATTGGGATTCCCTACCAAAGTGCCATAGATGCTGCCCCTTCCAGTGCCCTGTGCGAGCCACCTGTGCCCCTTTTTGGTGTAGGCCGGGGCTCTTAACAAGAAGACCATTCACCGTCGTCGTAGCACTACCCACTCAGTGAGATTGGATAACACTTGGGAAAATGTACCCGTTCCACTTGGAACAGGGACGCTGCGGAAGCCCCATCCTTCCCGAAGGAGGTTTGAGGAGCAAATACACATATGAACATCCGATTAGGTGCATATTGAAAATTGGAGGTGATTGTAATCCTCTTGGAAATGGCAGAAGTCTGCCAGGGAAACACGGCCTCTGAGGCTATACCGTGGACTTTACACATATGGGAACCACTTAGGCCTCTACATTGGAACCCAGCCCTAAACGAGGCATGCAGTTATTGCATCCAGCTGCCGCTGATCACAGCGTGAGCATAAAAAGGCAGCCGGTGCAATGCATACCAGGTTTTCGCTGAGGAGCCGAGCCGGTGACCCAGCCGTTCAGCGGTGGTACAGCAGCCGTGGAGACGGGGTGTGTCGTCTCCATTCCCTCCTTCAGGGAAGGAGGGTTACATACACAACCGAGACGTTCCCTTTCAGTCGGTCACTACGAGTCACGTCGTGACCGACAAATTGGGATTCCCTACCAAAGTGCCATAGATGCTGCCCCTTCCAGTGCCCTGTGCGAGCCACCTGTGCCCCTTTTTGGTGTAGGCCGGGGCTCTTAACAAGAAGACCATTCACCGTCGTCGTAGCACTACCCACTCAGTGAGATTGGATAACACTTGGGAAAATGTACCCGTTCCACTTGGAACAGGGACGCTGCGGAAGCCCCATCCTTCCCGAAGGAGGTTTGAGGAGCAAATACACATATGAACATCCGATTAGGTGCATATTGAAAATTGGAGGTGATTGTAATCCTCTTGGAAATGGCAGAAGTCTGCCAGGGAAACACGGCCTCTGAGGCTATACTGTGGACCTTACACACATGGGATCCACTTAGGTCTCACATATGGAACCCAGCCTTCTACCGGTTCTCAAGGATTCATCAAGTGAAGGCCTGGCACGGATCTTCCGCCACGTCTGGCTGCCGAGGGGATGGAGGAGCTCGACAGGGTCTACAGTACGGACACTGTGGAGCAGTTTTAGCAAGCCGACACTAAACCGGGGCCTCTCAGTGCCTCTACCCGTTTGAGGTGAGAACACAGGAGGATACCGGCTCCACACGAAGGCTATAGAATCTAGCGAACATGTTGGGGGTCGCCTAGCCCGCAGCTCTACAAATATCTGTCAGCGAGGCGCCACGAGCCAGCGGCCAGGAGGATGCAACACTCCTAGTAAAGTGAGCTCGCAACCTGAGCGGGCAGGGCACACCCTGTGCCTGATAAGCCAGGGCGATGGCATCCACAATCCAGTGGGACATCCTCTGCTTAGAGACAGCCTTCCTCTTCTGCCGGCCTCCGTAACAGACAAAGAGCTGGTCTGAGGTCCTAAAGCTTTGTGTCCGGTCTACGTAGCATCTCAAGGCCCGGACGGGACAGAGCAAAGCTAGGGCTGGGTCTGCCTCCTCCGGGGGCAGCGCTTGCAGGTTCACCACCTGATCCCTGAAGGGAGCAGTGGGAACCTTGGGCACATAGCCGGACTGGGACCTCAGGATTACCTGGGAGTCAGCCGGCCCAAACTCTAGGCACGAATCATCGATCGAAATGCATGCAGGTCCCCTACCCTCTTGATGGAGGCCAGTGCAAGCAGGAGCAGAGTTTTCAATGAAAGAAACTTTAGCTCGACTGACTGTAAAGGCTCAAATGGACCCTGCTGTAGCGTTTTAAGCACTAGAGACAGGTCCCAAGAGGGTATGGAGGGGGGCCGGGGAGGATTTAACCTTTTCGCCCCCCTAAGGAACCTGATGACCAGGTCATGCTCACCTACCGACTTCCCTTTCATGGGGTCATGGTTAGCAGCAATCGCAGCGACATAAATTTAAGGGTGGAGGGAGACAGCTGCAAAAAGGAAAGCACGACCCTGATTGGGCATCTCCGGAGGTCTTCTCGGTGAGAAGTGGTCTTCTCAACCACAGCATGTCTGGAGACCTGTTCTAGCCCACCTCGGGGCTCAGTCATGAAGCCAGTGCTGAAGCGGTCTCATATGCAATAGCCCTAGTGGTGTAAGTGCCGCTGCAGCTGCCATAAGCCCCAGGAGCCTCTGAAATAGTTTCAGTGGGACCGCTGTCCTGCCCTTGAACAAATTCAAGCAGGTCAGCACCGACCGTGCACGTTCCTCTGTGAGGTGTGCTGTCTGTTCGACCGAATCCAACTCCATACCGAGAAAAGAGATCCTCTGCGTCAGGAAGAGTTTGCTCTTTTCCCAGTTGACCAGAAGACCCAACTGGCTGAGGTGCCGAAGCACCAGATCCCTGTGCTCGCACAACTGAACCCGAGACTGTGCTAGTATAAGCCAATTGTCGAGATAGTTGAGGATGCGAACAACCTGCTCTCTGAGGGGAACAAGATCCCCCTCCGTGACTTTTGTGAAGACATGGGGAGACCGGGTCAGCCCGAAGGGCAGGACCTTGTACTGGTATGCACGTCCCTCGAACGCGAACCGCAGAAATGGTCTGTGGCGAAAAAAAAACTCGGGGAGTTGACTGCGTCAACATCTTGAATGGTAACCGGTGCAGGGCCCGGTTCAAAACACGCAGGTCCAAGATTGGCCGTAACCCACCGCCTTTCTTGAGTACAATAAAGTAGGGGCTATAAAACCCCGTATTCATATCGGCTGGAGGGACTGGTTCTATCGCATGCAATAACCTGCCTTCTCAAATTTTTAAATAAAACTAAACAAAACTAAATTTAATTTAATTGCCATTTCTGAGAAGATAGAATATAGTATTCATTGTATTACATGTTATTTGTATCTGTAAAATATAGTATATATATTTTTAAAGAGTATATTGTTTTTTAAATTTACCGTTTTTTTTTTTTTTATAAAGAGAACACAAACATTTAGTTTTCTTGACTTTTATGTTTGGCCTAACGACAGGAGAAACAGCCAGTGTCAAACACAGCTGCAATTCTTAATATTCTTGGGATAAATGTATCTTCAAAAGAATATTTAAAACTCATTTGCTGTATTTCTCTGAACCTAATTCACCTTATTAAAAATGAAAAGATGTATAATTGGTTCTTTTCCGGATCTTACTGTTGGTGGTCTTTACATCAGGGATTAAAAAAATATATATTAGAAAGATCACATAATCATCATTATCATTCTCTTTTTTCTGTAAACTTTGGTCGGATATAAATACATATGTAGTTCCTAATTAAGTGTAAGTCAAGAAACTCACTTTAAAATAATAAATTGATATTATCCATGTAATGACTTCAGTAAAAATTTAAAGAAGTGTTTTGTTGTTTTTGTAAAGATGATTCAGAAACAATCTTACATTTATTTTTCAATTGTACTTACACAAAATTATTTTGGACACAATTTGCATTGTTTATTTTAATCTGTTTTACAAGTTTATAAAAAACAACTGATAAGATCGTGTTTATAGAATGTGATACTGGTTTATTGGAGATGCACAGTATAATCAAACTTCTTATTTTATTTGGGAAATATCATATACACAAAGCAAAATACATATTGTCTGTACCAAATGATCTTTTATGATTTGTTCGTCTCAATACAGAATAATTGTAAAGCTAAGACATCTCTGCTGTTGAAAAAGGTAATTGATGTATTAGAAGTAGGACTGATTTTTAAAAGTTTTGATTTTATTGTGTTGCATATCTGTGAAGGAACTTGTAATTAGACAAGTGGTGCTCACTGCAGATCCAAATGGGTGGACCTCTGCAGACCTAATGGGTGGAGCTTGACCTAGTTATGGTTAGGGTATGGTTGGACCTTCAAGCTCCACCAATAATGTCCAGAGAGGTTTCAATGGTTTCAATTCTCTGTTATAATGTTTTCTACTTTCATGTCTTGTAAACTTGTGGGTCTCATACAAAATGCAAGTGGCGCCATCTAGCATCTCTCTTACCTATATGTTGACCGATTGTTTCATATTGTAATTGACTATTTATGTCTCAGCAGAAACTTTAATCTAATATCCAGGTAAGATTAGAAAATAATTTAAGCTCAGATCAATCTTTCATGTCCACATATTTATTATTTGTTGAGTAGCCAAGCAATTACTATGATTAGCTTATTTCAAAGTAAAACATTTGATGTGGTGTTTCCATTATTTTACACTTCCTGTATTTACTGTTAAAATCATATAGACCACTGCTTAAGTGACAAATGACCACTTCATTTGAGTGTATGACTGTGGTTGACCTCCACCGTAAAGCTTTTTACCTGTATGGCAGCGAATGTTAATGCAGCCAGTATGACATACAGCATAATGTCCTTGAGTTTCTTTACTACAAGAAATTCACAGCCCTGTAACAAGAAGTTCAGTTAGACTAAATTAGTTATAGTTTAATAGTTTTGGACCGAAGGTCTGTAGAAAGTGTGTGAGGGTGTTACCTCTGGGTAGAGGTCTCCTGGTCGCATTAACGTCCCAGTGCAATTACTGATGATGGGCTTGCAGCAGCTCACTGGAACACTGTTATTTTTGGACTCAATAAACCAGTGAGTGTTCATCCAATCAGAGTAGTTATGAATGCCACAACAGTGGAGCTAAAAGTGAAAGATTGTAAGAAAAGAAGGTTAGAGAGAAATGGAAAAATGGTGGGAAAAAAAGAGACCAAGGAACTAATGGTCTTACCTGTCTCTGGACATAGTCAATGGCCCTGCTGGGAGCGTCTGTGTTGGTGCCTTTATATTCATTATATACTTTCTGAATAGAGTGGTTCACCACAGCCTCGACCTTTCAGAGAAAAAGAAAAGACGTTTCAATGTTTTAACAATGACACTTTCAAACTACTTATATGCACTTGTACGTATCATTTAATTATTTCCCACCTTGGCTCTGTAAATATAGCCTAGCACCACTACAACTACCTCTGTTGCAAATACCAGTAGCAGCACTGCCGAGAACTGCAAAAAAATCAGACAGAAACAATCAGGAAAGATTCTGCAAGAAAAATCATCAGAGCTACAGTATGTGAAAATGAGGGATATCAGACTACCGTGACCAGGCCACAGCGGCTTTCTCGAATGGTGGCACAGCATCCAATGAAACCAATGACAAAAAGAAGCGTGCCCACAGCAATTATCACCATGGCAGGGATGAAAGTGTAGATATCCTCAAAAAAATGATCATAATCATCATATGTGATGAAAACATAGGCCCCAATGTAGCACAGTATACCTGCGGCAGCCTGGGAAGTGTGCAACAGACAAATTGTTAGTTTTTTCTGTTTGTTTGTTTTGTGATTGTAATTTTATTCAATATATCAAATCAGACATAATTTATAAGCAGTTTTATTTCTCACAAAATTTTAATGTGGAATAAGTTAGATTTTAAAATGTATTTCATTGACATTCTTTCCAAGTGTATTTTTTTAGTTTTATTAAAATTGGTACAGTTAAAGCCTGTGTATTATGATATTAAAATATATAGTGTTTTAGGTTGTGTATTGACAAACATTAACATTTTAATATTCATCACAAGCCACGTTACAATTATTTAGGTATTATGGCTGCAAGAATCATATGCTTCCAGTTTCATTATTAAACTCAATATAGAATTTAATTGGCATGAGTGATGACTGCTAATATCTTAACGTTGTTTGAGCAAAGAATAGCTTTAGAATTTTCAGAATAAATGAAACAAAAAACAGAACACAATTTCAGAACAAAAACGTTTCAATTATCCCTGCTCTACAAAAAATCTCTGTACAACGATATTGAAAGGTGTAGTTTTGATTTTCTTCGCGAGTACAGACGATATTGTAATTCTTATTTTATGGATAGATTTGATTATATATGGGTTATTTTACATGTATGCTAAGTTAATGCAACGCTAAAAGCTGCGTTTTCATTAGATCATTTGTGTATTATGTGATTTGACATTCGTTACTTCAACCAAATATAGTAGCTAGTGCTCTGTCGTGACACATGGGGACAAAACAGACAAAAACCAATGTGCAATACTGCGCTTGGATTCATTCAGTGATGCTTTCAATCAAAATCATAACGGATTTCTGTCTATTAAAAGCCTATCGAGTATGCATGTAAACATCAGCTCATTCGCAGTAGCATGTCTCGCTGCAGAGCTATGCCATAGTGCCAGCTAACCACTGCATTCATTCAAGCTATTATACTGTCGGCAACTTACCCAAAAAAACAGATTCAGGAAGACTAAAACCGTCTTCGAAGAAATAACACCACATTGTCCCATTATCACGCCGAGGCCAGGCTATATGTTTTAATCCAAGGAGAGAAATTCACGTTAATAGCAGATGCATGTCGTGCGATTGTCAGGATCCGCGAGCATCCAACTGGACAGCGCCAGTCACGTGTCCCACTGACCTCAATATCGCGAAGTGAACTGCGCTGTTTGTTCTCTTTCAGCGACAGCCCAGTGCGTATTACAGACATCCTTAACTCTCCTGCTGGCATGAAGAAACTGCACCAGCCTGCGTTCCTTTGGTCAAATTTGATCCACCTTTAAATCCATTAGAAATGCATGAAATCATGAACAGCAAATCTAAGAAAAATATTGGGGTAGACTGTGCACATCCATCTCAACAATTTCTCCCCTCTTATGCAAAACGTAGTGGCAGTATAGGTTGATAAAAGTGATGTACTATAAAATGGCTGATATTTTTGAGTCACTTTTAGTCATCTTCTTATAATGAATAAAATAATTAATCCAGCCTTCTTACACAACATTTACAATTATACACTCTTAAAAATGCTGGGTTGTTTCAACCAAATGTTGGGTCAAATATGGACTAACCCAACTGTTGGGTTAAAAAGCTAATTTAAAAATGTTACCAAAATGTAACCCAACAGTTGGGTTAAGTCCATATTTGACCCAACCTTGGGTTGAAACAACCCAGCATGTTTTAGAGTGTAGCCTCTCCTCAGTTCAAAGGTCAAAGAGAACCAGGTCAATAGAATTGTTAATATGGCATTCATACATATTTCTTTGGTTACCTGATCATATATTAAAAAGGAAAGATAAATATGTTGTGATGTGTTGTGCTGACTAAATGGAGAACAAGGCTAGGTCAAAGACGGTTATCATTTGTATTGTCTACAAGATAACAAACTTATGTAATTAATTTATATAAGAGAAAAGTATGGTCAACTCATTTTCATGTTGACAAACACAGACTTAAATTTGGCAAAGGTACAAGTATTATACATATTTAGAGCACCAGTAGGTATTTGGTAATTGATATTCAGGTAGTACTTTTTGCACACTATGTTTGTACAAGAATTATATTCTGTTCTTAAGGAAAGACAATAGTAATATGCTAATGAACAATGTATCAGTTTTTACCTTGTGTTATTCATATTATATATACAGTATAGTCTTTCAGTGTTTAAGAACATTTACAACTTAACATTTATTTTGTCATTTATTTTAGTTCTTGGAAATTTTGCATTTTGATGGGTTGTCATTATAACTGTTAGAAATGGCTGAGATTTGTTTGAAAGGAAAATGATCTTCCACCCAGATGAGTGTGCTGCTGAAGTCTTAGATTTGCATTTGTTTGCTGTTCTGTTTGTAAAAATGTAAACTTTCTCAAAGCAGCATTTTTTCTGAGATTATATTGTTGTGCTTTGGTCCACTTTTTAGTTTATGTTGTTTTGCTTTTCAAATCCATGTCTTGAATTTCTTTCTGATGTTTTCTGATAAATACAATATATTATAGTGTTTAAAGTTTGCAGTTTTCATAAAAAAAATGTGGTTACCATCTGAATACCTAATTCTACAATGAAATCCCACTGAAATCACCAAGCGTAACAATTCTCTAAATCCTAACCATTCACTCACCTGCTTGGGGTTAAAAAATAAATAAATATATAGGCTAAGTACATTTAAAAAAATACTTCCACAGAGTATAGAAATTTAGATAACAAAAATGGACACTTTTAACATTGTAGTTTCATGCAGGAGCAACTGACTTCACTAATTAATCCTTTATTTAGTACAAATTATTGAAAAAAACAAAACATTTCTGGACATCTTCTAAAAATAAATATACAAGTATAACTTCTTGCATTTCTTGTGACATGGAGGTGGTTAAAAGTTTTAGTTAAGAAACAAATTACAGTTGATGAAAAAGCAATTACAAATTTCATGTGAATTAAAACACTTCGAAGATCTCAGCCGATGGCAGTCATCCTTTTTTATTGTCTTGGATGTAGCTGTCTAATATCTTCATTAATATTGCAGTCCCCTAGAACGACCAAAAACAGTTCATAAATCAATTGTCGATTATATTCAATCATTGATTATGTTATTGATAACATTATATTGATTAAGTAGTCTATAGCCTATACAGTTGATAATGCAGAATTGTGCTAATTATATTTTAAGCCAAACAAACACATGAATTTAAAAAACATTTTTTATGAAAACTATTTACAACAGAAGAATATTCTCTCTCATTTTCATTTCAGACCAGAGTAGAAACTATACTTCAAAATGAACAGAAAATCCAGACTCGGTTCTTACCGGAACTTTAGGGCGGATCTCCTGAGAGGCGAGGTGTGTTTGAAGCGCGATCCTCAGCATCTCCTGGTAGAGGTCCGCGGGCTCGACCTGCTGGGGATTCAGTGCAGCCGCGATGGCTTTCATCGTGGAGTCATCCTCGGTCGGCAAGTGTTCGCTGTCCACAACACTTTTCTTCCCCATAAAATGACCTTAAGTGCCAAATCACATTTCTGTTCTAGGTAAAAGTCACGTTATATGTAGCACAATAATAAGTCGTGTGTGCATCTCACCTGTTGCCCATAAATTTCCTCTCGGGTTAACTTTGATCTTTGCAACTTTGTTTCTTAGTTCAGACAAGTCAAGGCTCACCGAGGACGCTATCGAAACGTAAAAAGAGAACAGCACAAGATATGTGAGGAATCCACAGTGACAAAAACTGGGTACACTTAAACTGGACATTTCTAAACGCTGTAGGTGGCTCGCTCTATCTCTCTCTCTCTCTCAGCGCGCGTACATCTATTACGACTGGAGGCGTCAGATCTTGGTTTTATATCGCGCGGATGGGAGGGCTGGATGGGGTGTCGTGTAGTAATGATCCAGCGAACAGTAACAGTCATGTGTGACGTTGTCGATCACTGCAAATGAACCTATGGAAAAGTAAGTATCACTTGCCAACACGTGCCGAGTCAAATTTCCCTGAGCTGCAGCGCTCAGTTCAGCACCATGGACAACACTCACATCACACGCTGCGGCAGCGGAGGAAATGCTATGACATTGGGCTTCCTAAAGGAGTTCACATGATTTGAACAGTGTCATTAGTAAGTCAATTAAAAGACCATTTATCCAGCCTTGTAGGTTTTTATTATTTTTTATTATAATTTCCTAATAACTCTTCATTCTCAGTCTGTTTAATGTCCAAAACAATGCCACATAGAAATCATATTTTAATACATGAATAATTAATTAATTAATTAAATGGTCATGTTGTACATGCTATTTTTGATCGAGTTCCTGTGATACTAACAATACAAATTAGTTAATTGCTGTTTGTGAACAATACAGGTGATCAGTTCTTTTATGATCCACACTGAAAAAAAATGGTGTAGAAACAATTTTCACTCAGAAATAGTAAATTTCACACTTAATTACAATGAAACAGCAAGAATTTAAGAAAGATTTTAGAAATACTTATTTTACACTGTCTTGTCACATGTTACATTACATGCAACTAACCCTAAACCAAACACTGGCTCCATTAAGTACATGTTGTTAATTAATGTTAATCATTACTTATGTGTGTAATTACACTGTAACAGGGACACCTTAAAATAAAGTGTAACCAAAGACTGAAATTGTATTTTCCTGTAAAACATTCACTAATTACCTTTTTTTATTATTAATCACAACTTCAAAAAAATCATTGTTTACTCTGCATTGATATGTTTGGTAAATACAAAAAGGTCAGGTTCAAAGGTCCTGTTTTATGAGTCAAATCACACAATATAGTAAATTGCCAGTACTTGCAGTTATGACATTATGAAATTGACTCTAATGCCTTCTAAACACCCCAATGCTCTAAATCATATTATGCTTTGCATTCTTTATTTTTGATACTTTGCATTCGTTTTTAGATGCATACTCATTTAGAGTCAATGGCATGCCTTACTCTCAGAACAATTCTTGCTTAAACATTATACAAGTAAGGAAATCAGCTTTGAGAAAAGAAAGATTTGTATCAGCTTGTCCTCATCTTGCTTTTTCCCCTCTCATGGAAATCAATGGGTCTCCCTGTGGGGGGTGTTTCCTTCACAGTTTCCAGGTGGGGCAGGAAGGGTAGGGTGAAGACTCGGAGTAAACTTACGAAAGGCTGAAGGTGAAAATGCAATCCATTACCACTAGTGACACCTCTTTTCCCAATGGCCTGACATGCTGAGACCCTAATGGTGTGACTCCAGTGAACAAGCATTCGACACGACTCTACAGTCTGAAGCAAATGGGCCAGTGACTCACAAGGGACATGGCATGCCATAAAACTCAGATGTGTGGAATCAGATGATGGCTGATTAATGCTGAGAGTTTAAAGGTGCTAACCTTCCCCTGCTTCACAACTTTCTTTACGAAAACCCACATAAGAACTAAGCTGCATTTAGTTAGTAGAGTGCAGAGAGAGTGTAAACCTCAAACTGTCTTGACTCTCACCCGTCATTTTAACATTTAAACACCTTTTAAAGTGTGAAAGCAAAATGTAGAATGATTCATGTTTTGTGACGCTGAATGTGATAAACACAATCTAATTATCACTTTGGATTGGTGCTTGATCTTTTCTTAATAAGATGCCAGGGAGAGAATATGTAGGCTTGTGTTTTGACGTGATAAATTGAAGCAACAGAGGCAGAACAAATCATTATTAGAGAAATGTTTTTAAACAGCTAAACGGCAAAAAAAAAGAAATTGAGAAAAATGTTAGACTAATAACATGAAAGGTTCTGACCTACAAAGTAGAAATATGTCACACCATACAATTGTCACCTCAGAAAACTGCATCATTTAAATGTAATTGATAACGCAACCTTTTAAGAGAGAAGCAATTTTTTTTTAGTTCAGTACACTGGAATAATAGCCATTTATGGGTGACATGGTGGCTCAGCGGGTATCACTGTCACCTCACACCTCCCTGGGACCAGTCCTGGATGATCCAGGAGAATTTCTGTGTAACCTGCACTTTTACTCTGTGTCAGAGTGGTTTGCCTCCGGGTGTTTCGGTTTCCCCCAAATCCAAAGGCATGCATCATGGTGAATTGGTTTATGGCCTGAGA